CAATTATCGGCTCACTAGCCGTTACAATTATATCTCCTAACCATTGGTAAAGTCTATACGCTTGCTGTCTGACCCCTCCGGTAGGAGATTATGAGGCTAGCTCTTCAAAGGAGTCTACGCTCACCCTGCATGGGTTCTAATTCCTTGCCTGGACCTTTTTGACTAGGGTTGGAGCTTATTAGTCTCCCAAACATCTAACCTTCCACTTCTTACTAGGGTCAGGCGCAGCCTGTAACTCTTATATTTGGTATATTTCCGTACTATGCTGTCCAAGGAGTAGTGCTTATTCCTCCTATTTTCTATCTATATTACAGGCTACGTCCAGTTATTGTAATAAGGAGAAGGTTAGATGTTTAGGAGACTAAAGACTTTTGATCCAATTCGGCAAGGTCCAGGCATGGAATTAGGACCCATACAGGTTGAGCGCAAACTCCTTGAATAACTGACTTCATGATCTTCTACCGAAGGTGCGTTAGGTATCATGCGTATAGACTTTACTGATGGTAAAGAGGTATAACAGAAACTCTCCTTTAGGATTTGTTAGTTTTTCGCACATGTAAAAAATATAAAGCGTTCCGACTTAATACCCTTGCTTCATCGTATTGTTGTAGCCCTTTACAGTCTATTGCACAAATATACTGTAGTCCTAAATGAAGGTTGCCAAAATTCAGTTTGTAATCCAGCTCTAAAGTGTAAGCTATTTCTCTTTCCGATAATCGTGCGATTTGATCTTTCAGCTATTCTATTAGCTTCTGGACGATAGCAAATAGTTGGCTCGAAATTATTGCCATTAGTAGATGCCCATTCTTTCATACTTTTATGGAGAAAATCTATTTCTCTATCAAACTGGATTTGTAAAAGCTTTTCATTGTTTGCATGTGTACTCCAATTTCGTTCTGCCCGATGGCACCAGTTTTGGATGCATTTGGTTAATTCTTTCTTATCTCAACAAAGAAATGAAAATTTAAAATTTGTGAACTGATCAGTTACTGTTAGTATATAACTTTTACCATGTAACAATCGAGTGCGAAATGGGCCACATAGATCCATATGAACTCATTATAAAGATCTTTAGACTTCGGTCATTGGATCTCTTTAGATTTTAAAGTTATTTTGCCTTATTTATATAAGCGACAGAAATCGTATTTTATATTTTTATTAGGTTTAATACAATCTACAGCGTTAGGGATTCTCATTGTAAGATAGCGTCCAGGATGTCTAAGCCATTCATGAAGTAGATAAGCTCTTGATGTAGTGCTGAGGACAGATTGTTTAAGCTCAGGGATCGTCTATACTCTGTTTATTCTAATTCCTCGAAATAAGAGCTTTCTGTCTTTAGACTGGATCAACATTTCAGAACTATTACATGTCTATGTCACAAGTTTGTCTGCTAGTGTGTGATGGGCGATCAACAAAACAATATAGTAAAGGAATGGTGGCCGATTACTGTCTATTTTCTACATACATCTCGGAACTGTCCACCGAGGGGAGGTTACTTAAGGTGTCCCAACTCCCAATGCGCTAACCTCACTATCTATTCTACTACACCATATCCTTGATATTCCGAGTGGGCTCGTCATAGCGAAACTGGGTCGTATCGGCCCATGATTCCATATAAGACTTGCTGCAACAATATCTTGTTTCCATATTTGTTGCAACCCTGTATTTGTATGGCCAAGTTGGACATCTCTTTAGATAGCAAGGCTAATGACGTAATAATCATAAGTGTCCGTGCGACAGTCACTAGGAGATAGGCGCAGCCTGTAACATAGTGTCCCTAAAGATATTAAGCTAATCAATGCACCAGGGACAGAAATTATTCTTTAGAGTATAATAGAGTGAGTAAGTTTAGATTTACTAGACAATTTCCAATAGATTCGTGCATCACTTTTACTAACCTAACACGCTGTTGTCCCATTAGCAACTTCAATGGGCACCGGACTGGGTAAATTTTGCCAGTGAAAACATCTTTAGGTGGTGTAACAGTACAAAATCACATTGTATCGAGAGCCCAGATTCTTTTTTGAAATCAGAGATGGGAAACTTGCACATAGATGAGTTAAAGTTTCAAATTCAGGTTTGCCATCAGAAGATTTATCAACTTTGGGGGTTTTATACTGAGTCCGTGTTAAGCGACGGTACGTCTGCTCCTCGCAAACATGTGTCGAAAATGATCTTTATTTTCTATCTAATAGGGGAAATAATCAATGTGGGATTTACCAGATTATAAAGACTACCCATAGCATCGCATCCTGGACTTTACATGATCCTAACTAAATTAGGAATGACGCCTGTTGGAAGCCGGATAAACTCCGGTTCCAGAAAAACGAGGCAGCAGCCTGTAACAGTCCGATTGCATTTGCTTGCTCTCATTTACTCTTCTGTGTCTCCTGCCACTGATACTATTTGAGACCCGATATTTTGATATCTATACCCTCCGAATGTGATACCCATTTAGAACAACTTAAATTGACGTGGTCACCATTACACACCCAAAAATTCTTCATCTGTCGAATACAAAAAATTTTTTATCATTTATTGTGTATTCAGCTATAGAGCTATGACACACGACCGGTGCTATTTATACAAATGGGATGACTCTTTTGACGTTAGAGACACTCATACTCTGGATTTCACTCGCAAATACCGCTTTGAGGTATGTTCGCTTACACAAACAGTCAACCCTCCTCCGTAAGTACCCACCAAAGGGAATTTAAAAACCTTTGGTTATCCAAACATGCCTTCGTCATCCATTCATACCAGCACCGCGAGAAATCTGGTAGTGTTTTGCCGGATTTGAACCAGCAATCTGCTGTCACGAGTGGGATATGTGTCCAAGATATCCAGACTCTACTTGGCAGACCGGCCAAGACGATATACCACCGCACCATCCAATCATGGCCATGTTTATAGTGTCGCCTGCACTCTCGCAACCGAAGACTGGGCACGCACAGAGGTCAATTTGTAAAAGCTCCTTGCCAAAATTCAAAATTCCACGCCCGTCGAGAATTTATCCATCCTTTGCATCATCCTTTGCATAATCTTATCAACTTGTCCTGATCCCTCTCACGTCCATCCCCAAGAAATGGCTTCCAGTTTTGTGCGCCATGCTTTGCTTCCTCCGTCGGGTGTAAATATTGGCGTGGGCGTGTATTTGGTGTTCAGCTAAGGCCAGAAAAAGTCGACGAGAGGTGTGGTCATTGGAATAAGGATGTACTAGGTCGTACTTGTAAACTTGATGAGGCTTGGATAGCATTCGGGCTCGTTGGGAGTGAAAATTTTACGTGGAGGAGTAGTGTGAATCATTGCCTCGTGGGCCAACTTGTTTGGTATTGCGAAGTTTGACTGAACTTGGCTCTGGGAGAATATTTCACTCCCAGGTTCGTAGAGGACACCGCGTATAGGTGTTGAGTCTTGCCCTCCGAATAAAATTTCATAGCCACTGCAGTAGCCAGTTCCAACTCTAGCGCATGTTTATCCGGCTCAGCAATTTTTATCTCGGCTATTTTCGCAGACTGAAACACTTTAAACACCTGTGGGAACTTATCTCTTTTCGTTAAAATTTAGATTGTAATGTTGTATTATTAAGATAGACCCCGCATCAGAATGACTATTTGGACAACACTAGATATGACATCTTCTAGTCCTTCGGCTATTATCTCAGAAGTTAGTCTAACTATTAAGTTGAGTTTTAGCGTGATTGGACTTATTTTCATTGACTGTATTGCAAAGAGCTGTGATATTAACTGCGCGAGGAGGCCTGTGTCTTTAACCTCATACGTATTTATGAGGGTATCGCAAGCTTTTGATCCAGCGACAATTTTGTATGACAACTTTCTTACTAGTGTCACCACTTTAAATGGTCGTATTCAATGACTGTGCGTGTTGGTATAAGAGCTCCTCTAGTTTCTCTTCAAACAATCTCTTCCTCATCTTTGAAGTGTTGTTCTTCAACTTGGGAGGAATTTATTTTTCCGCCTTGTGGCGACTAACCCGATTTTGAGGTTAATCCGTCAGAGAGCAAAATTTTCACGGCCTGTAAGTTTAATTTCGCCGTATTTACCTGTCATGGTATTTTTGAAAAAAAAAAACGTAATAAATATCTCCCAGACTTGAATGCGGAGATTTTTAAGAATTGTAAATAACATGACCAAGAACAGGCCGTTCTTTCTCTGAGCATAGAGGATTTTAACGAGTCAATATGAGAATTTGAGGAAGCGCAAGGGCTGTTGTAACATATATATGGGTATATGTCAGATTCATAACTCCTGTAGTCTAACCTACCAGAGACATACATGTCTATGAAAGATCCGTGCAACAGTAACACGACGTACTTTCACAGTATTACTTCACAAGAGCTGCTGGTTGTTGTGCTGATCTAAGAAATTATAACTGTTATACCACAGTTTATTGTAAAATGTTTATTTATGCAGTAAAAACTCTTTCCATGGCATAAACAGGCAGCAACTTGCTTTTTGACTTGATTGTGACTTGACATGGAGAGGAGATGTGTTCCGCTAGTTTTCTCTACCGTTGATTCGTACAGCAACTGCAGCAAGAATCATTGAAAGCCCATAGTTGGTCAGCCTATACAGGAGACTCATGTAGTATGCACCATACTTCTTGTCTGCGGACCCTCAAATAATGCAAGCAGTGAAGAGCTTGAGTACGGCGATGTAACCAAACCAACTGATGTTGGTATACGGTAGAGTGAGTCTAGAATAAAATCAGTTGGGTTGCGAGATCTGTGATTGGGGAATTCCTACATCTTGGTTTACACATAAGGAGAGGTAATTAACGACGCCGAATATAACAGACTCTGTTACTAAGCAACCGTATCCAATCTACACCATTGGTAGTCCCTGCAGCTGACTAGGCCCTAGATTCCATCCCAATCGTATGAGCGTAGATAGTCCACACCCGAGGGACTAGTCCCATAACAAGCGATAACTAATCAAGATTTCCTACAACTAGAACTTGACCCTTTGGACTTAAGGAGGCTAGTTTTCGCTCCATTTTGGAACGGCTTTCTTGAGAAATTTCATAAACTTCCACATCCCGACATTGAAACTCACATTACCCTCTGGATCTGTTACCCTCTCGGGCCACGCAATCCCTGCGCCATACAGACCAGAAATCTTCTGGCTATCTTCATCCTCGAATATTTGCGTGTTCTGGTTGAAGGTGAAATCAAGCCTTCTTCCATTTCTCTCAAGAGTCGGAACCTCATTGCGTTGAAACCCAATAGCCTGTACTGTGTGCGTACATGATGGAAGGTGCTTATGATAATCATCTTTTTCGCTCGCTCTGGATGTCGCAATTTTTTGCAAATACTTTCCGACATCTGATTTAACTAATTGACTCTCTTCTAAGTTTTCCCTGGCCCATGAAGCTACTTCTCCCTTGAGTCCGGTATTATCATTAAGAATCCAGCCGTCTCGCTCTTCGGCGTACCGAAGTGGATGCCGGGTGAACCATTTGATTCGTAGATGGGGGTGTGTTGAGCGCGCAAGATGATAAAGGTTCCGAAGAACCAAGATGGCGCTGTGCGAAGCGCCAATCACTGCTACCGTTGTCTTTTCGTCGCTGGAGAAAACAGTGGGTAAGAGCGATGGTTTGAGTGCAGTGTCTAGACTTATAGTCTGCAAGTTTGAGAAGGGAAGTGGTTCAGTAATGGGTTTGGATCCGGTGCAGAGGACTAAGATTTTCGCCCTTATTCCTAAAATCTCGCTTATTCCAGAACTTGGGGAATCGACCTTGATGCTCCATTTATCAGACTGATCCCACATTAGCTAGATAACCATGATATCTCTAGCCGTTGAAACTTACACTTGACCACGATGCAGATGTGACGCTTCCTCGCAGCTTTTCGATTCCATTAAAGTTTTCTAAGCCATTGGTGAGAAATTGACATAGGTCGGCTGCATCAGCGATCTGACAGGTACTAGTTTGCGGAAGACTGCGCAGTTTTGTATATGCGTTCGGGCTCGACGTATCCCTTGCTATCTCTCGAAATGGTAGAAGTGCATCGGCGAACTCGACGAATAGCTTGACTTTGGTGTTACTTTCGGTGGTTAGTATTACGTTGTTCAAGGCCAAAAGAAATGATCCAAGTACCTAGGCACTTCTCTATAATGCTTGTTGAGACGTCCGGCTTTGAATTCATTATCTACCCATAGTATAGGTGATTTCTTCTGCTCCAGAAAATTTCCAACAACAGCGATTCCAGCAGGTCCAGCCCCAACGACAACTGCCTCATACATCTGGTTCATTGATTTCAAGGGTAAGGCCATTTGAATGGATCTTGTGGGGAAAGTTTGTTTTTGCTGGTTAAAACTACGAGGTCCTTGGATCCGAATCCAAAGGATAAGGCAATCGGTAAATTTGTTTTATCTATCTAAGAGTAGTAGTAGCAGCAGTTGTGATCTTCGACCTGAGTTGCGTGACAGCGCTAAACAACCTATAAATAGCCTCACTAAGGGCATGAGGTCGTGCCGAGCCCGAATAAACTGGTACAGCGTGAAGCAGAAAGATTAATTGGCCTAGGCAGTCCCATGCATCCATCTCTAACACTGCCCCCATCCTAGACCAATAAATCCTCCTCGCCCCATTCCCTACACTATCCCAAGAAAGTGAGTCATGCAAAAGCGTGCCGCCAGAATGACCATCTCAGATTCACTTCGATGGAGCCAAAATTTCCCAGAACAACCGTTCGGTCGTGGCGATTCGATAGATCTGCGACCGGCCGGCTGGTCTCCTGCCTCAGGCGTATGAGAGACGTGATTCGAAGAAGGGCTGCAAGAGACCCCCGTGATCGGAGTGCCGAGCCCACCTATATGTCCAGGTGAAAGTTTGTGGGAGTCGGCTATGTATATTTGATTTCATTTCGTCCGTTCACGTGCCCCATAGGCCCATGCAGGTGGAGGGCAAGACTAAACACCTGTACGCGATGTCCTCTACGAACCTGAGAGTGAAATATTCTCCCAGAGCCAAGTTCAGTCAAATTTCGCAATATCAAAGAATTTGGCCTACGGGGCAAAGATTCAAATTGCTCCACCATGTCAATCTTTCACTCGCAAAGAATCTGATTCTCACCAAAGCTTCATCAAGTCTACAAGTACGACCTAGTAAACCCTCATCCCAATGACCATACATCTCGTCGACTTTCTCTGGCCTCAGTTAACTACCAAATACACGCCAACGCCGATATTTAAACCCGACGGAGGAAGCAAAGCGTGGAGCACAAATCTGGGAGCTAGCTCTTTGGGATGGACGTGAGAGGGATCAGGACAAGTTTACAAGATGATGCAAAGGAAAGAAACTATTTCGATGTGTGTGAGATTGCGAATGATGACAGGGAGGTTTAAATCTTGAGGAGAATTGTCCGTGTCTGGCTTTAGGTTGCTAAAGTGCAGCTGACACTATAAATACATTACAAAGATTGAAGGTGTTGTGATCCGCCTCCTGGTGATGTTCTCTGGTATAGTTTGAGTAGCCTGGGCACCTTCTCCACTTGGGAAGGAGACATCTCAGATTACATTTCGCGCGGAGAAAAGTTGATGGATGACGGATGCATTTCTGGATAATTCAGAGTTTTTGAGACGTTCCCCTGAGTGGGTATTCACGGATGAGGGTTGACTTGGGGTGAAGAAAAAGCCGCCATAACTTCGCAGTGGTACTTGCAAATGAAATTCGAGGCATGAGTGCTCCTCTTGTAAATTGAGTCATCTTTTCTGTACTTTTCTTTGATATTGTGTCATAGCTAGATAGCTGCATACGCAATCAAAATCTGATACAAGAAAGGCATTGCAGTGAGAGCCGGAGGTTCGTGGTGGACATCACCAATAAGTGTTAAATTTTCTTCCCCTTATTCCGCCTATAAAATCGGAATTGAAACCTGTGTACTTGGATACCTAGAGAAGATGAGAACATAGGATAATCTATTTAACATCGATTTCTAAGAAGTTAAAGTCTGGGCCTGAAATCCAACAAATTTCTATATGAGTAACTCATGGTCTACACATGTCGGTTATTTTACATAGCAACATATGAGTGCTCACGCCTGTAATGCCGACCATCTCGAAAATAGAAGGTTGTATCAGTCTCACTAACACATCAACTAGCACCCTAGAGATTCTCTAAATTTAGAAAATTCAAGTAAAGTTTTGTTCAATTTCGTTCATTGAGATTATGTTCATCGGTTGAAAAGTGTTTTTGTAGTTTGGAAGTAGCTTCAGCTCATCCTTGAGTGTCTAACTCAATTTACTAATATTCTCCCGAGTATACTTTCGCAAGATATCCTGTCCAGGCCCCAATGATTAGAGATGAAAGAACGAGCGGTTGTAGCTGTAATGTACCAAATTGTATACGTTGAGCCACATATCGAGAGGCACAGAAGTACAAAATATCCAGAAATCCCATGGCAATACTCCCTAAAATATATAGCAGGATCTGACAGCTTTTGCGGTTTAGATTACTCATAGATGATATGGCTTCTTCTAGTCGCTCTGCCATCTTTGCGTCAGAAAACTCATGTTTTACTCTCTCGGTCCCACAATTACCAATTTCTAGGCGTTCTTCTTCAGTTAGATTGAACAAAACGTTGTAAATTACTTTTGTCCACTGATCCTCGTCGTCAGGGGAACAAAGCCATCCAGTTTTTCCATCTACTACTGTTTCAAGGGGTCCTCCAGTATTAGCTGCTAATACTGGGACACCAGCAAGCATAGCTTCAAGGGGTACAATCCCAAAATGTTCGTTGGATGGAGTATATATTAGGAGACGAGCCGATCTAAGTAGTGCATCTTTTAAACTGTTCCGTACTGAGAGAAGAAAAAAGACATCTATGTCTCCTGCCAATTTTTTGGTCGTAAAATTATCATGATGAGTTTCAGTTTGAAGACCAAACGATTCGGCTAAGTTAACAAGTTCTATATGATGCATTACATTTTCTTTGATTTCGTTATCGTAACCACCTAGTTTACTGGTAAGCGATAGACTTGCCATAGGAGTGCTCCTGTAACATACCAGCTATTATTAACTTGACATTCTGACGCTGATGTGATTCTAAGCCAGCATATGCTTTGATAGCAAGAGCAATGTCTTTTTTTCGTTCAAATCGGTTGATACTGAGTAGCAATCTTGTGCCGCTTGGAATTTTTTCTTGAGAGTCATTTTCTGGGGAGTGATATTTCGAAGTGTTTACTGAAGGATATATAATTTGTATCTTTTTCTGATTTACTAGTCCCGAAAAGGTCCTCTTCACGACTCCTTTAGTGAAATTTGAATTAACAACAATAGAATCTGCATAAGTCATACTCCATTCTTCAAGAAAATCGAATGGAATACGATAAATCCTCTTCCACCATTTGGAACGATCCTGGACCATTAGCAGGTCTGGAAAATGGCAATAGAATAAAATTCTTGTGTTCGGGAAAAGGTAGGCAAGCCACGGTAGGCCGGCACTTAACTGGTCAATGACGAAAGCATTAGGGCAAAGTTGTACCAGTTCAGAACTGTAGTATGTTGAAATTATAAGGTGAAACTGTCGTAAAATTGCACATATGATTGAGAATCGGCATAGAATCGAGGGCGGAACTATAGTGTCACCTCGAACGCGTACGTCGAGTGTTCCTGTTATATGTTAATTCAAAGAAACTGCGGACGTTAAAATATTATCACCGTCTCGAGCCTCATCAAAGCAATGCTGAGGATCACATCGTGAAGTGAAGATAACTACCTGGTGGCCACGCCTTTGTAACCCAACGGCAGCGTCGATTATTAACCTCTCGGCTCCTCCGATGCCGAGATCGGGGTGGAAGAATACAATACTCTGTTTCTTATCGTTTGACATATCGGATACCTTTGCAAATAATTGGAACCCCTGAATAATTCTTGGGGTACAGTTTGTAAATTCAATCTATTGAGTTTCATGAACCCATTAGCTGCTTGTGTCATATACAGCTGTATCAACCTAATATCATGATCTGAGGACACAACTTAAGAAGAGGTGCAGGGTAAGTGTCGGGGTAAAAGACAGTAATCACATGATATATGTCACGAAAATGGGAGGGCTAGATTTACAATGTTGAATCTGGTTGATAAGATTATCTACGAATTGCGGATTGGAATGCAAATTTCGCTCCCGAAAATAATAGACATCGTGTAAAACGTGATCGCTTAAACATATCATATGATTACTATCTTGTACCTTGACAGTATGTGTTTTTGTTTTTTTTGTTTTATTGTACTACTTGAGTCTATGACTATCTAGCACATTGGGCTCCTCTCTGACCCAGGCCACACCTTGTACAGTGCTCCTATCCTCTTTTGTTACTTGAAAGATCATTGATATATTCCCCTTGATGAATAGCCATTCAGCTCAGTATTTACCCGTGGAATTCAGCCACCTTTTCCACGGAACCTTCTACCCAAAAAAAAAAAAAAAAATGGTAGCAATGGAAACTGCGTGCGCGGGAAAAAGTCTCAAAAAAACCTGCAGCCCCAGCCAGGCGAGGCCTAGACACCGGGACCACATGAGGTGCGCATATTCATCTATATCTCCCTTCTTTGTAACATTCGAGGTCGACTTGATCAAATCCACCATCTCCGTATCGGGTGCTGGGTACGCTCCGGAAACTCATCGGATGGCTTTTCTTCCATGATCAAGGGTGGGTGACGAGTAGGGCTCCGACCCTACCATCTGATCTGATCGTGGTTAGCTTCATGATAGTGGTGATAGGGGAATGTGTTGAGAGATGAAGACGATACAGACCGCGAAAGCGATGGGAATCCTCGTCGGAGTGAGGACTTTGTTACTCAATCTCGGCTCTGCAGACTCTACAGTGAGAGCTGGAGGTTCGTAGGGGACACCACTGACAGGTGTTGAGAATAGTCCCCCTACCTTGACAGTAAGTTGACTGATTAGCGGGGTGCCTGATTTTCTGCTCGCCATGAACTGATAAGTCCACGCCGAAAACTTGAAAAAAAGTACTGCGCTAAACATCGCCGACGGATTACTAGATCACTCATTTTTATCACTGTACATTTTTCACCCGAAAAATCTTATCCTCTAACAAAACGAGAACTTAGCTATTTGTATGATCTATTCGTACGATTAAAGAATAATTGTTACTTGTTATTCTACGAAATTCTTTCTGCGAAGATATTGAGACTGTCTCTTACAGCAGCGATAAATTTTAGCAGACGTGGAATCTAACTAAGATAATGTTTCCACTAATGAAGTTTTCTCACCATACTGGTCCCTGTAGCGATCGATCTCATACATGGACCCATGTCAATAATCGGAATGATCTTGACCTAACAATGGGAGAAGCTCAGCTGATAGATGAGTTTGCGAATCATGTGACCAGAAGCTGGATGAAAGTTACAAGTGGGAGTGAGGTTTTGGTGAAAATCATAGGCTCTATGTATCAGCGGGTATCAAGGAATCTGATGGAGTTTTCAGGAATCTCAAGATCTTTATCAACTCGTAATTTTCAGTCAGCAGCACACGATAGGAGAAAAGCCGGTTGATATAGTAGTCAAGTCTCCTTTTCTAGCGATGAAGTACCCGAAAACACATAGTACTGTATGTCACCTCGGATAAACTTCGCAGTATTCATCACTGAAAATTGCAGGTGCGTAGAATTCAGGTCAAATTCCGGAAAGAGTCCGATTTCTCACAAGCAGTAAATTTCCTCAGAAGCCTTGGGTTGTCAGTGGTGGACAAAGATGCTCCAACACCACTGTCTAGCGGCACATTATCTGGTCCTACTATTGTTCCATCAATTTCCGGGTCAGCTTCAAATGTTTCACTTATAAGGCCGATGACACTTGGAGAATTATCATTCCAATCTAACGGAAGTTCTCAGCAAGCATCTTTGCCTCCAGCGGCTGAAAACAGTCTAAGTAGTCAAATAAGACCTGTCTGCAATGTCAATGAAGGTCCTAGAGCTGCTTTCTTGGAATATACGTCCCCTCCAAATTTAACTAACAACGAAGCATCAAAATCCTCGATCTCATCACAGTATCAAAATTTATTTCAAAGAGTATCTAATTTAGAAGAAGCTAAACATCAGACGTCCTCCCTCTACCAATCGCAGATTGAATCGCGGGTTAGTGACAAACTAGATTCACATGCACACTTAAATTAAACTCATAATTTCTAGCATCAAGATCGCAATCCATGTCTTCAACAAACAGGAATCAGTGGGGTTGAAACTCTGAACAATGAGCCTCGGATCTCGCATGTTTATCCACAAGATGAAAAGATGCCTGTTTACCAAAGTAAATTGGTGACCCTTACGGGAGCTCCAGCTCTGTTATCTCAGCCTGAATTAAGAGGAAATACAGGAGATATCTTTGCTGGTCAATCACCACAAAATAATTCTGAATCACTAAGGCTCGTTGCAACTCAACCAGAATCTTTCGAAGATAAAACGCCTTGGATACCCCCTAGAAGAGAACTCCCGTTTTCAAAGCCACGTGATCAACCTAAAACTGATTCTCCTCTTGAAAGCTTATCTCCGCTACCAAAGCCAACCCCTGTCGAGAGAGTAGATGCCGAACAGCTAGTGGTTAGCAAGAAACAGAAAACCGTCGTATCTAGTAAGAAGCCAGTTCTCAGAAAGAGTCGATCAACAAGACCAATCATGGCTAGAATAGCAAAAAAATTAAACTCTCCCAAGTCTGCAGAGAAAACCACCACAGTAAATATAGAACATGGTCTAGAAAAATCCATAAGTCCTAGTGAAAATACTATCAGTACAGCTGCGACGCCACCAGTGCCAGTAAAGGAAAGGCCCCAGTTGCGAGCCACAGCCCCTACTAAGAAGCGCCCGGCACCACACGATCGAATTGCGTTAAAGCGAAGAACTCCAATGGTAGACCAGGGTACGCAGACATTCCTCCAAACACTCTCATTTTCAAGGGAAATTCCCTCTCAGAAGACAAGAGCAAACTGTACAGTTGCCGACCCCATCCCAACGTCGCCAGGACCACCACGGGCGGAGTTCCTAAAGATTCTTGAAGATTTAGTCATGAATATGAAGAATGGACCAACGCCAAAAGAGGTATGGGATAAGCCAGGATACTTGGAAGCTAGTGACGAAAGCCGAGTAGCTCTTGTGAATGATTTCATTTGTGAGAATCTTGAGAATCCTGAATTTCTACAACTTTGTCAGGATACTGAATTTTCGTGGAGGAGAATTGGCTTGGGGTTGTAAAAGTGAAATGTATCAGTATTTGCTACGATTGAAGGAGTATTAGGAGTATTAGTACCCTATTGGATGCTATTGACACTTGTTGCGCCCACATTTGAATGGAATGCAGGCGTCCAAAAAGTTAATTTCATTTGCTAAATCTAGCTTAATAAATTAAACATAGCTAGAATACTAAAAATTAACACAGTTAATGTGTACATGTGGGATTGAGACACCGGGAATCAGAGATACTTTGGGTAAGCTGATACCGCCGGTATATTATTAAAACAGCTAAAGATGGTAATATTTCCCGAATTTATAAACACGAGGGGAGCGTGGGAAACCTCTAGCCCTGGCCGAGTTAGTAAAGGGTTGTGGGTGACATCATTTTGCCACGCTCTTTCGGCAGAACCTGCTTTTGCGTGTTGTTTACAGTTCATTCTTCCATTTTCTACTTGTCTTTCTATGGTCCGCATTGCATGTGGAGTGTTGTCCTTGAATCCGCTTTGGCGCAGTATGGCATGACGGCATCATCTATAGTAGTCCGGGTCATGCGCGCATTTTGACATAGTTGGCGGGGAAAATACCAGTGCGGCCCCCGATGAAACCTGTCCTAAAAAGCCAGGAATTAGCAAGGATAAAAAGAAAGAGAATGAGGTGCTAAGACAATGGTAGTCACACTTACCACCAATCTTCTCGGCTCGGTGAGGCCTGGGTCACGGTAATGATATCACCCTTGCGGAAACCTAGATCTCCAGGCTGCTCGGCGTCAAAATTGAAGAGGGCGATTGCCTCATTCTTAGACCGACGCGCCGAAACGCTACGGGAGAGAGGCTTGCGAATGACAGCCGCTTTGGCAGTAGGAGGATCGATAGTCGGTGTATCTGAGTAAACATATTCATCAGCAGCATCTAGGCGGCGCGCTTGTGCGCGCGAATATTGGGTTGTGGTGTGGTGGTGAGGGGGTGAGTCAGGAGGTCGGCTCCGACTGCGGGTGTGACCTCGAAAACCGCCACCAAACACACTGCGCCGTCTAGAGGGTTCGCGTGACGGATAACTTATTGAGGGCGAGAGCTGATTTGAGTCACGGAATGTCTGGATAGGGCCAGCAAAGACTTTGGAACTGAGGACTTGGAGTAGGGCCTGAGCAGCAGGAGGCGGCGGTACAGAACCAGATAGTAACTGGCTAGCCGTAAGACGTTCCCCGTAGAAAGCCTCATTAGCATCTCGACGCTCAACAATAGCACTGCCTTCAAGGCTAACCCCGGCAAAGAGGCCTTTTGTTTTGCTGTAGCTAAAGATACCGGCAACGCCCTTAAGACTTGCTGCCCCAGCTGCTTCGGCGTTTCGTCCCACGGGTCCGGCTGCGACGGACACATTGCCACCAAATGTCAAGGATCCAACTTGGGTGAAGGTGCGCACAGCAGCGCTATCGTTAAGAATGAAGACGAAGTCGGTCAGCTCGAAGCCAATTTGACCGCCGAATCCAGCACCAGCTGTACCTATGGCTGAGGGTGCGCTCCAGCTGCCATCGGAGAGTCGTGCAACGACCACACCATTGCCGTATCGTGCTGAGCCGAGAAATCCAGCCTTGAAGACGGTTAGAATAGCGAGGCCCTGTAAGCACGAAATTAGATCTTAAAGACGGCGCAATAGCGAGGTGGTTGGAAAAAGGTGCCACGCAGCCATAGGTAGACGATAGCACTGCCTGAGGAGAGGGTGAGAGATTATCACACCTTTGCATTGGCCAGAACCTGCGGTGGAATGAATTTGTCGGGCCCAAACGCCTGGCTAGGATCAACGAAAGATGCGAGAATCTTGCTGCATTTCCGGCATTCGGCTGAGGTAGAGGGCGTTAGCATCAAGAACCTTGGGAATTTCGACTAATTCGAATTACTGCAGCGACTTACAGGTCATAGACAGCGGAAGCGGATTGTTAAAGCGCATAGCGAGTAAATTCATCGACAGCAGCAGAAGTGAGATGAGTAACTGCGGCCATTAGGAAAAAGATGGGATGACGGCCGCGGCATTCAGGACCAGAAACTCTGTCAAACTTATCGGCTATGACTTTCGCCAGAATCCATGTAGCTCAGGGGGTTGAAAGTTAACATTTCCATCATGTTATTACTTCAATAATTGCCATTACATTTTGGTGGGATAGAATGGGATACGAAGACTCGAGATCTTCTTGCAATGGCATGCCCTCGAGAACATGAAGGTCCCAACCCATAGCCTGTAGAGCCAAAATCTAGTCCAACACAAGTTGCGAGGGCTTATTTTTTGGAAGAATGCCGCACGACCTTGTAGCTACGGCGGCATAAGTAATTAGGTCAGGATACCACGCGCTCTGTAACAGAGCCATTGCTGAATTCTTTGATAGACATGCAACCTCTCCTGAGACCCAATTTACCGAGGGCAGAAAATTTAATTTGTGATTCTGCGTCCTTATCGGCTGCGATTCCGACACGACCCTAAGTATCGGGCTGGGCTTCAAACATGTCACGACGTGGTGCTTTAGACTACTTGCAGTAACATGAAAGAATGTTGGCCGCGGGCCCGAGGATGTTATTGGGTGCTTTCTATGCATTTAACGCGCCACAGTCGGGCATGTTGTGGCTTAGGCTCTGTAGCGCACAGCTCCCCCACTTTAAGTAGTGAAACGAGCCCGAGATTCACGGATCCAACTTCTTATCTCTCCCCGAGACTTTTACGCCTGTCATGTATTCCTTCAGTATGTATGTAGTTACTCAGCTATGACACATGACTAGCGCCTTTTTTGCATATTTGATGATCTTTTAACTTTTGTTTTTTTGCATCAGATTTCAATTGCGTATGGGGAGACGATTCTCGACACCCATTAATGTTGGGATCCTACGAACATCCAGCTCTCACTGTGAACTCTGTAGAGCCGAGATTGAGTAAAACAGTCTTCACTATGATGAGGATTCCCAATCGCTTTCGCGGTCTTTATAGTCTTCATCTCTCAACATATCCTCCTATCACCATTATCGTGAAGCTAACCACGATCAGATCAGATGGTAGGGTTGGAGCCCTAGTCATCACCTATCCTTGATCATGGAGAAGCCATCCGATGAGTTTCCGGAGCGTACCCAGCACCCGATACGGAGATGGCTGATTGGATTAAGTTGGTCTCGACTGTTACAAAGAAGGGAGATATAGATGGATATATGCACTTCGTAACTCCGATGTCTAGGCCTCGCCTGGCTTGGGCTGCAGGTTTTTTGAGATCTTTTCTCGTGCACACAGTTTCTATCGCTACTTTTTTTTTTTTGGGTAGAAGCTTCATGAAAAAGGGGACTGAAATGTACGGGTAACTGCTTGGCGGAATGGCTATTCATCACGGGCAGTATATCAATGTTCTTTCGAGCAACAAAGGAGGATAGGAGCACTGCACAAGGTGTGGCCTGGGCCAAAACGGTACCCAATGTGCTATATAGCCACAGACTCAAGTCGTACGATAAAACACACACACATACAAACAATTTTTTGAAATTCGAATTTTCGAATATTCACCCTTTCCCCCTCTCCCTCCCTCTCGCGCTCGTCACATTCCTTCAATAAATTGTAATCGAGTCTCTGGCATTTTCATCATGCCACCTGTTCGAAAAAAGTTCCCCAACTCAGTGTCGGACAACGCGAGAGTCCGCCCGAGGGCTCCCGCAAAAACATCTGGCCTCGCGCAAAAATTATCAAGCCTATTTGCGAGTGAGGCCTTTGTCCCTGGGAAGTCTTCCACACTTCCCGATCAAGAGATGACTAATTCTGACCCGATCAGAACAGAAATAAATGGTCAACAGACCGCGAAACCCGCCGAGCTGGCCCCCGAGGCAAGCAGTTCCAGGAAAGGAAAGGAGGTCGTCAGAGAAAAGACGACCGAACGTGCAGAATTGCCTGCCAAAAAAAATGCTGTGCTAGCCTCATAAGGCGCAGCTTCGACAACAGCGATGGAATATCCCCCTGAGCTCCAATCTGTGATGGAGGCCGAAAAGCGGCGTACGGCGCAAATAACGGCCCGCCTTGCCATCTGCTCGACTGCAATAAACAGTGTCGAAGCAGCACTTTCGCCTCTTTCGATCGGCGAGAATAAAGAATTCGTAGACGGCATAAAAGTCTACCTACGAGCGGCCATTGGCCAGTTTGTACAATCAGGCCCAGGGACCACACAACCGATTCTCCCTGCTCGCCCCAATAACCCTCTTCCGACGAGGGCTCCAGAAATTAGGGCTCAAAACCCTTCGACGATCCAGGCTCCGGCACCAAAGACGACTTGGGCCACAGTAGTCCGTGCAGGTCTAGGCCGCAGCGCCGGGCCGTCGACTACAAAGGCAGTACCGCCCGCCCCAAAAGCAAAAAGTGCCAATCCGAGGACAAAAGTCGACGCGAGACTTTTTCTAAGCCTCAAAGTCAACCACCCCTACCGACTCCTGTCACCAGCTGGCGTAAGATTAGCTGTGTCACAGGCACTTGGTACCGCTGCCGACGACATCACGTTGGTTCAGCGGGTCAAAACAGGCTTTGCACTGACAGCAAAGAATGAACTCGCTTGGAAAGAGCTCCTAGATTCCTCCATGTCACGGAGCGAATCTGGAATCAAACTGGAACCAGCATCAAATCTGGTTGCCTTGCGAATTGCCACCGTACCGGTGACAATAAACATACTTGCAGGTCCCATCGAGATCACGGCAAAGATGGTTGCTGACGAAGTCACGCGAGTGACGAAATCAGTTCCGTTTCTTGTCAGTCCGCACGGGTACTGCAAGCCTGGGGCGCCATACGAGAACTGGCAAGCCCTCTTTCCTCGCGAGTCCGCGCCCCGACCTGGATTCCGCCTCTTCGACGATTCTGGAGCTGCGAAGCTCTTCCGACCTCGTCACTAACTCGAACAGTGCAAACGTTGTCTTGGCTATCACGCCAGCCGCGGATGCTCCCGCGCTCCAGCTTGCTGGAATTGCGGCTCAAACATGCACTCGGAAGTGGAGTGCAAGGCACTCACGATGTCGCAATTGTGGGGGACCTCACCGATCGGACTCTCGGCACTGCCAAGCCAGACCCAGAAAAGATGGACCGGTGACCAAGGAACAGCTCGCAGCAATTCGTAAAGTCGAGCAAGAAAGATATGCAGACTTTGCCCGTGTCAAAGCTGCACACAAAAAGGACGAGGAGGCGAGGAACGCCTCTGCGAAGGACGTCTCCATGGCGGAGGGATCGGGTTTCGGAATTCTAGAAACCGAAGAAGAAGTTTGAGGACTCGGCAGTTCTTGGTGAAGTCTACGACAACTTTCACAACAAAAGGCAGGAAACCGGCCGACAGCAAAGGTCACCTGAGAGCTCATCTTTCGCTCTCAGCGGAGATTAGGAAAAGTCACTTGGAAGATGTGACAGGGAAGGAAACGGGCGAAAAGCGCGGGATCTGGATGACATATGAAATTCTTCTAATTTATTATTATTTTTTGTTTTTGATTTACGCTTTGATCTTAGTTTTGATTTAAGTTTTATTGTTAACTTCATCTACTTTTGTTGAGGTTCCCACGGTTGGAATGAGTTGGGCCTGTACACAGAGAACCCCACCGGCTCCACCAGTCTTGTACCGATAGTGGACCTAGAGCTTTCGCTTAGGACTTTAATATAAAAAACAAAGAAAAGACCAGAATTGACAATTCGAGAATCCCGAGTTGCCCATTCCCTCCCTATTGTCCATCTCACCCATTATTTATCGAATTGAATCGGAATTGTTTGCCATCGGCAGCATTTTAAAATGCCTCCGACGCGTAGAACGCACCAAAACGCGATCAGCGGAATCACCAAAGATCGCGTCATCAAATCCTATAAATTGCATGAATCTACACTAACTCTTGCAAGACAAAATCTTACGGAAAAAGGATTAGAGGCCTCCGAGAAAAATTTAGACTCCATCGAGACTGCGCTCGAAGCTAACGTTCGCAATATACTCGAGGTAGAGATGTTGGACGTCGAAGTCCAGAAGTTGAAATCTCTATCAGATTCAAGATGGGCTTCCTCCAGCCTAGAAGACGCGGAAAAAGCCCCAGGGCCCGCAGAAATCCCAAGAGAAACCGTTGCAGCACCCGAAAAGCGCGCTACGGTTCCAGCACTACCGCGACTTAAGGAAGTAAGGCCCGTGAAAAGGGCCGACGTACCCTCAACCAAGGCAGCAGGAGCCGAAAACTCTTCGCTGGCCCCACCACCTACAGCAACAGAAGCAGCTGGCAAAGAAAAAATATACCCTCCAGAATTGCTTGCAGCGATGGAAGCGGAGAAGCGGAGGGCAAGACAAAAAGCCGCGCAATTTGATATCTGCTCGACGGCTATTAGCAGTGTTGAGGCAGCTCTTCAACCGCTCTCCACCGGGGAAGATAAAAATTTTGTAGACTCCATCAAAGTCTACTTAAGGGCAGCCATCGCGCAATTCGTGGCGACCGGTCCGAGCACCGCTCCGCCAGTCCTACCCCAACAGCCAAATGTCGCGACTCCCCCTGCAACCGTCGTCCCTGTAGCCATTCCCCGGAGTATTTCAAAGGCTACTACTGTTGTGCTGGCTCGGTTGAGTTTTTAGGAGACAGGGGAACGGAGGATGGGCTGCTGGATTAGGAAAGGGTGGAAAATACAGGCTGGTGCACAGACGCTGTTCATGTACTCTACAATCTCTTCACCTGCCGAGTTTAGTGAATTAATCTATCCAAAATAATATCATACTTCACATCATCCATTAGATGATATTATCAATTGTCGGGATGCACATCTAGCATCACCTTCATAGATCACCATTGTCAGTAAGAGTTCACATTTGATACCTGCTGACACCCATTTTGCCACAATGATACGCACTCAGTGTCCATCGTGCCATCACCCAGCGTGAGCGCGCTATCTCCGCGACTCACCATTGCACATGAGCCAGTGTAAATCCACCGACGGACAGCAGAGAC